GTATCGTATATATATATATACATATGTATGTATACATGTGTGTACGTATATGTATATTATATGATATTCTGTATGTATATCTCCAGATTTATGTCCCGGCACATCCAGGGCCCTATATTCCCGTTCCACCCACTTCTATTGCCGTCCAGTGGCTCGTTCTGCCTGAGCATGCCGAGAAGGTGGGCGTCCGTCGGTTCTTTCTGTGCACCGGAGGGGCATTTTGCGAAGTATGGATGGTTCCCTGTTACAAGGTTCGGGGTTTATAGGGTTTAGGGCCTGTTTCTACTCACCAAAAGAAGAGTCCACTTTGGAGGGGCACCAGAAGAGGATCCTAAATTCAACTCAGATGGGAAGATTCAAAGGAGGATAGTGGATGGGGCCCTTCTTCAGGTGCTCATTATAGTCTAGATGGGGTCGTAGTGACGGTTCAATGCGCCCCTGAGATCCAGACACTTGGTCTCAGGGTTCGGGACTGACGCGCTTCGTTTCGAGGTTTCATGCAATTGCTGAAGCATTGCCTCTCGTTGGCTTGGGCAAAAAGCCCGGCGCTGAGAACACCTGAAGCTTATCCCTAAAGCTGAGTGGCTAAAAATTAGATCGCAACTTCATGTTGAGATGTATTTGAGGCACCCTTTACTTTCACGTTAAATTCAGGACCATAACATTGGCAAGCACTCCGGTGCTAGTCCCTTCCCTGATATGTCACACGCAACATGAACTGTGGATGTCCTTCCTTTTTTGGATCACGTCCTAGAAATTCGAAGGGTATACCCCAGAAGAAACAGGACATCCAGGGTCCAGGAACCGCCAAGGTTGTAGTTGTAGCCACGAAGCCCCGACCCTCACCTTGATAACGGACATGATGCATCCTTGTCCGTCGACTTGGTGTCCGAATTCCAAATGCAGAGGAGGTACAAAACAACGTGTCATTTAGCCTGAACTAAAAACTCTGGATTAGTGACTTCTCCGGGAACCCTGAGAACAGAATTCTCTTCACGCTGTACCAAGGTGGTTTCAGGCTAGCTGCCCACGCCCGGCTCTCGCCGAGGTAGGAGCATGCAGGGGGCTACTTGGAGGGTCAAGGGGAACCAGTAAGTAGGTGAATAAACCCTATGACCCATATAGTTACCCTACTTATCCTCATTTTTAACCTACTTATTAAGTTCCCCTGACCCTTCAAGCATGGCTGGGAAAACCATTAGCCCGGCAGAGCCTGCGTGCACACTTTCTTCAACCTTCCTAGATACAAACCCATCCAAATGTATCTCATTGAAAGGGCTTCCAAGGAGGGGCCATTGCTTTGAGAAACCCCACATGAACCATAGACTAAACTCCTAGTATCCCCCTTAATAAGCCCTATAGTAGTCCCCTATATAATCCCCTATATGACCCCCCTTTAAGGAGTTTAGACTTTAGCTCACATATTGTTGCGTGCCTGAATGTCTTGGCTGAAAAGGGCGGAGAACAAGTTCTTGGGCAGCCGTCTGGAGATGTCGTGCCTGGAGTTCTTATGCTTTGACAGCCTTCCACTCCCTCTCTCTCTCTCTCTCTCTCTCTCGCTCTCTCTCCCTCTTGCTCTCACGCGCAGACTCGTGATCGAATAAGGTCGGAGCCACAATCTCGCACTGCAAGATGCTACTCATGTCTCAAGCACAGCTGATCTTCGCAGGCTGTTCCTTTGCAGTACTAGTCTGGCGTACCGTTACACCGCGCCGTGATTTCCCAAGGACTGGAAAGCACGGCTCCTCTCGTCTGCTGCTTTGCTTTTCAGCTTCTGGAACACATGCAAGCCTACTTCAGGGAGGTGCCAAAAATCATGGGTTCCCCTACTATTCCCCACCCAAGGTTCCCCCTTGATTGACGTTCATTAAGCCTGATTATCCTTGAGTAAATTTAATTAAGGGGAGAGCCGAGGGGGCGGGCAGTTTAGAGGGGGGTAGTAGGGGGAAACCCAAAGAAAATCTCAGAAGCCGCCGGCCCGCAGTCAGCAAGCCAGACATCTCTTTAAATCCTACCACCCTTCACTGGGTCGCTGAACTTCACTCACATTAGCACAAGTGGCATGTAGTTCATGTAGTTAATACCAAGGTTGCCTTATAACCCTGACTGAGGTCTGAAGTTCCTTCACAGCTACGCAGCTTGAAGCCCTCCTTAACGTTATGCGACAATTACGATTCTTAACTGACTATTCTGTTTTATATTATTGCTAGAAGCCCACTTACCTATATATTGGGTTCCTGTCCTTAAGACCCTGTATACTTTTATACTATCTGCAACCCAAGGACCTACTATATGGGTACCTGGGCTTCTAGGGTTACTATTCTGCCTATTCTTACTATTCGTACTATTCTTACTATTATGAGTGGCGTACTTGCTCATGATGTAGATGTCAGCGATGGGGTCGCTCATGAGGCTGCACGGAAAAACCTGTTCCAGAGGATGCTCAAGCATGGGGTTTAGGGTTTAGTGGTCTAGGGTTTAGGGGTTTAGGGTTTGGGGTTTAGGGTCTAGGGTTTAGGGGTTTGGGGTTTGGGGTTTAGTGGTTTAGGGGTTGGGGTTTAGGGTTTGGGGGACATGCAGGAACCCTCAAACCTTTTACGAATGCTGACAATCTCCCTAAGAGTCCAGGTATCTATCTCTATAAGAACTATTTGGGGCCAACATCCTCAGTATTGTAAATATGGGAGTTTCCATGAATGGGGTGGGCCCGAATCTACTGCACTTCTTACTATAGCGACTTCCATTTTTTTGTATCCAGGTCTCTGAGTCGCTAGCCGGGAAAGAAGAACTGAGTTACCCTGGGTTAGGCTCTCAACACGTTATCCGAGCAGTACTAAGCGCTCGGCATCAATTCGACATCAAGTCGACTTACAAATCGCACATATGTCAGCTCTCGAGCTGTTCATGAGATCCAAAAAATGCAAACAAGCAGGTTCAGCACATTCTCTACCTTGATTGTTGGAAACCCAGTCCAGATGTTGGACAGCCAGCCCTGCTACTCAGATTCAGATGCTTTGACAGGTATTTGCTGTTCCCCACCCAGGCCATCATCACCCCTATGCTTAACCATCTGGTAGTTTGGTGTTGGGCTGTTAAGAGAAGCCTGTTGGAGGATGATACCAATGTTGTATCCATCCTCTGCAACGCCTTGCAAAAAAACTGAAAACACTCTAACCAAGTATGCTACTGGCTAAGAATTTTTCCTTGCCATCCTCCAGGGGTTGCTATCTGAAGTCTTCACCAATATCCGCATTGTTGCCCCACAACACCCTCAACCCTGAGCATCTAAACATATCTAGAACATTCTCATCACGCGCGCACACACCACAGAACAGTGAAGCACCATTTCCTATTGTTGTGACCTCCTTAAACGAAGCTCGCATCACATGCGTGCTCCTAAATTCCCAAGAATGCAGCAGACCCTGAATACACTGTGCAAGGTAGCCAGCTGAGAAACCCATACAACCCTAAGCGCACATGGTTTGCTATCACTCCTAAGTCCCTTAGCGTCTATTTTAGGGATATATTCCTCCACTTTTTACTGAACATCCGCAAGAGAACCCCAAAGACGGAGTTGCCGTTGAAGAACCTATACTAAGTTGTCATTGGACATGTGACATATATATATATATGTATGCATAGTTATTCCCTCTTAAGTAGATAAAATATGTAGTATATGAAAATCTTATTAGAATATACCCAAAGCCATATTCCTACTTAAGGGGGACGATATAGGAAGCCATATGAGTTCCCTTAACATCGGAGCTCTGGCAACCAAACCCTCAACCTATGTAACCCGTTATAGCCGTGTCCATTTTCTATTCAACAATTCCCTATACATAACTCCAATATCCACCCTAAGCCCTAATTCCTAAACCCGAAAACCTAAACCCTGAAATCCTAAATCCTAAATCCTAAACCCTAAAATCCTAAAATCCTAAACCCTAAATTTTAAACCCTAAATCCTACACCCTAAACCCTAAATCCTAAACCCTAAACCCCATAAGCAAAGCAGGAAGAACCTCGGAGTTGCAAACCTCCTTGTCTCCGAAGTACTGGAACGCACCTGTCGCAAGCCCTAGGGATCCATGTACACANNGGCCCTAAAGTCTGTAAATATTATCTACATTGGGCTATTTGGATCCCTAGGGGAGGTGTCAGGTTTGCTGAGCTTTGGGGGTTTTAGGGTACAGGGTGGATATTTGGGGTTTAGAGAGTTGAATTTAAGGTTTAGGGTGGATGTTGGGTTTTAGGGTGGATATTGGGGTTTAGGGTTCGGTTTTGGGGTTTAGGGTGGATGTTGGGATTCAGGGCTTAGCGTTTAGGGCGGATAACGGAGTTATAATAGGTAATAATGGAAAGGAACATGGAAAATACTACTCTCATGGGTTTATAGATTTAGGGTTCAGATTTTAGGGTTGGGGCCTTGAGAAAACAGAACTCCCAAGACAAGAGACCATGAAGATCCACGAAGGCCTTATTAAGGAACATTTCAGACTCTATGACTTCCGGAAGGCTTTATTCAGATGCTTATTACCTGGCATCACCAAGGTCTTGTGGCTCTGGGAGTAAACCCTAAACCCTAAACTTTAAACCCGGCTCAGCTTTAGGGTGCAGGTCTTTTTTAAGGGCCCCTGTTGACCCGCTCATTCCAGCTGGCAAAACTCCTTTTGGAGCTGGCGGTGCAGGACTCTTACGTGTCACCTTCGGCTTGCGCCATGAGCCACGTGCTCTGAAAAGAACACTGATCCCCCATATGAGCTATAGTCTGAACTTCTAGTATCCCCCTTACATAATAGTAGTCCCCTAGATTATAATCCCCTGCATGACCCCCTTTAAAGAGGTGAGACTCTAAGAACCCTGGAGTCTTTCAGGAAGAGAAACCCTCCAGCCCAAGGCTTCTAGGCTCTCTGCCCCTCTGGGCTCCCGAGGAGCTATACGACATCCCTTTCATAGCTCTTCAGGGATTAGGGTTTAGGGTCTAAACTCCCAAAAAAGGGGAGCTATGTAGGGGATTATATACAGTTCTCGCCATAGAGGTTATGAGGCACCGTAGTCAAGGTTCCCGTTCAGGGTTTAGGGTTCGGGGTTTACTGCACATGCGAATAAAAAACCCAGAGTGGCGGAGGGAACCCTGAGAAGAAATCCATCATGTCTGCAGCGCATCGATGAATCCATAGTCCCCCACCCCACCCTGCCCAATAATGTTCCCCCAAGTATACGGGGGCGTGCTTCTTATTAGTGGAGGGATTCATATGTGGTAGGTATATATGCTCGGCAGATACCCAAGCAAAAGCCTTGTCACAAAATCCAATCTTCCATTTCATTGTTCATTGTCTATGTTCTTTTCCACTTGATTCACCATCATGCCCTTACGTTTCATATATTATGAACTTGCGAAAGCCCCACTTCATGCGGTTCTTTCTGGTTTTCCATTCCCATGATATAACCGCTATAGAGACCCATAAGAAGAAAAGTCCTACTTAATGCAGGGCTCAGACATTAGAACAAGGTCATGTCCCCCCATCCACCGTGAAATGGCCTACGGAGCCGACTCGGAGAAGCTTTTGCACCGGCGCCTGCAGTGGTTCAGAAGGAGCATACCCTCCTCCGAGCTAGCATGAAACCCCACATAGCCACTTTGTTGAAAGGATGGTCGTTGTTAATGTAAACCCATGATTAATACACTCCCTAAATAATACTATCCTTATTATAATCCCCATTAAGGGCAATTAAGGGGAGGGTGTTTATCAATCAGGGGTCTGGGTTATGAGGCTTCTTTTGGGCCTCCGTGTTCGTCTTGGGAAGATAGACAGTCAGGGCTCCCAGGCATCCTGGCCTACCATTTAAGGCTCCAAGAGAGTTGTGATGATGAAGAAACAAAAGACCGAAGAGGGTTTAGGGTTTAAGGTTTAGGTTTTGATCGTTTGGGGATAGCTGTGGAGGCGTTTGCCCTGAGACACCGCCGGGTAACCTCGATTTGGATTTACATCTAGCTGTGAAGTTGAGATGCAGCGGTTAAAGGACAGGCCATATACAATATCAACCTTTACATCATGTATATGTGTATGAAAAAGCTATATACGAAGCCAACATCTAAAAATGCAAAACCACATCTTCTGAAATGAGGCGCTGCCGAATAGTATCCGACCTGCTCTGTAGAGTTTTTTAGGCAGCTCCCCGAATCCTGACATCTGAAACACACAGGCGGAAGGAGGCAGGAGGCACCCTTAATGGGGACCCCTGTCGGTTATGCGGGGGGTCACTCTAAACTCCGAGTATCCTCCATAGTAGTGCCTTATATAGTCCCCTATATAACCCCCTTTAATGGGGTTTAGACTATAGCTCATGTAAGGTATTGGGATGTGGGGTCTCTTCTAGTCGTCCCTCCACGAGCCTTGAAATGCCTCCTTTGCTATAGTAATATTACCCCAATATATCCCTCCCAATATAACCCCAATATAACCCTAATGTAACCCCAATATAACCCTAAGAGAACCCCCCACTATAACCCCAATATAATCCCCAGATCACCCCTATGTAAGCCCAATGGGAGCAAGCACTACTCGACTCGGGCCCTGGCAGCCTTTCGATGTCTTGCCTGGCGTCACGCATCAACCAACAATTAAGCTGTAGTCTAAACTCTTTAAAAGGTATAAAGGGGATTATATAGGGGAATTGTATGGGGCCATCAAGGGGGATACTAGGAGTTTAGACTATGGCTAAATTGAGGTGCCAGAGTGCTATTCATTTTCACAATAACTTTGAGATGATGGAGTACAAGGAATATGAGCGCTGCTTGGGAGGGTTGGGCTGGCATCAGGGAACGTGCAAGGCAGGAATACTCTCTTCCCCAATAACCAGGGTTTAAAAAAACAAGCTTTATAGTAGAGACCCAAAAAGGAATCCTAAAAAGGTTTAAGTTCTTCTATTGGCCAAGAAAGAATATAGAAAGACTGAGATTCTTAGGAATGCCCGGAAAATAGTGAATGCCGTGCGCTTGATTTTTGTCTGAAGCAGGAAGAGCTTTCAGTCGGGGATCCACAGGCAGGCACATGTGCCCGTTTCTCACCTGATGGAAAATCATGCAGTGTTGAGTAATGAGGGTAATCTTGAAATATCTTGAACAATTGTTCCTAGGTCTGTTCTCCAAAGTATCCCTTCTGTGGAATTAAGGGGTATGTCACCAACCGACCAGCATCTACAAAAATGGGATGGTCTATCTAATCTCCTACAGCTGCAGCAGTCGTTGCTACTTGGAGAAGGCTACAGCTAGACCTGTCAATTAACTGGGGGCTTGCCTACCTTTCATCCCTAAACCCTAAACTAGCACGTCACCTGCTCCTCTGTGGGTATCAATGCGAGACTCTCATGAATCAAAGCACGGGCTTTGCATCCAGGCTCTCATGGCAGGAAGCCCAGAATTTTGTGAGAAACTCTGATGTAGGTAAATGTACCATAGTCTAAACTCCTTAAAGGGGGGTTATATAGGGGATTATATAGGGTTTAGGGTTTAGGGTCTAAACTCCTTAAAGGGGGTTATATAGGGGATGATATGGGGG